TTCTTGACGAAAAATTCCGATGAAGTATTTGAGTTTTTCTTTGGAAGCCATGAAAAGGCTACCTTTTTCTGTTGTTGTAATAATTGGCCTTTTTTACTCGGGTCCGCATCCGGAACTACTTCGAGCGGTTAAACAGTGTATCGAAGAAAGTGGCCAAGCCACCTTTGTGACTAAAACGGAGATGTCGTCTGCGAACTTTTGTTACCTTCTTAAAAGCCCATATCTCAACCACACTTTCGTTCCTTTTGAACATGGCATGTTTTTACTGAGGAAGGGCATTTGCATGTGATTACGAGTTGCACCGATTTTTATGCGACATCGTTTTATTGTCCCTTGACCATGCACTACACAGTGTTTATACTTCATCTCATCCGATTGTTTTTAAGGTGTTTAGATATGTTCCTGATTTTTTTATCTGTTATTGACAATAGATGCCAATTTCCTTGCCCTGTGATGGTTGAGGAAATTTTAGAAGTTTTTAAAGAAAACGCTCACGTTCACTAATGAATTTCCGAAAGATAGCTCTTTGCAGTTTTTGGACCTTAACCTGGCGATATTGGGCGATCATATATGCTGCGTGTACCTCCCACGAAGTAAGAAAGATTTGTTACTGTATGACTCAGCGCATTCAAAGACTGTGAAGCACGGAATCGCACTGCTTTGCTTGCATCGAGTTGGCTTTACGCCGATCATGTGAGCATGTTATGCAGGCTAGCTTTTTGATTCAGCTTCAGAGACTTTCCAAGGCGGCTATCCTCACTCTGTTGTTGGTTCAGTGATGGAGTCCCTGCTGCAGAAGTTCAAAGGCAGTGCTGCCAATGGAAATGCGAGCCCGAATGAGAGGGAGCGGGTTAAGCCAGAGATGGTCCCTAATGTACACCGTGCGAGTCATAACCTCAAGCATGTGGCCACCCATGCGGCATCCAGATCATTTTTTTTTTCAGCTCTTAACAAGCTGTGTCCGCGTATCACATGCGATGAGCAAAGGGAAGCAGCACACTTAACTTTTTAGGCGCTGCGCACAGGGGGTGGTATATGAGACACCCTTAAGCTGCGGCAAGTCCTACACGGGTCAAGGGGCGTTGCATCAATGACCTATTCAGGTATTATTGTATGAAACTCTATGGGGAGCATAGTTAAGACAAAAGTGATCATGCGCATCTTCCTGCGCACTGTAAAGCCTGCGGATGTGTGCCTCGCTTTAAGCAAACGGTGATTCTTAGTAGGAGTAGCAAACAAACAGCTAGAGAGCTCTTGGAATCTTTTCGTATAAAAAAGAAAAGGCCCGATTGTATCAGTGATATATCTACAATGTTGTATTCTACAGAAATGAGGTTTTTCGATAGCTTATATTGCCTTGAACATGACGCTGTGCGACGTTTGTTGGCTGTGCACGCATGCATGGAACTGCATTATTTTTTTCCATGTGCGTTTCTTAGATTGTCATTAAACAGTTGGTAGTTTGCGCTGTTCTTTATTCTCTTCTGCTTTCCCCGTTTCAAGATATGTTTTTTGAGCCTCAGACATCTGCACCAAGTGCCCAACAACGCTTCCTTCGACGAACACATCATGCGCCGGCAGAGATGGCCTCGCCAAGGTGCAACCCCGAGCAAGCTCCAATAATTGATTGATTGATTGATTGATTGATATGTGGGGTTTAACGTCCCAAAACCACCATATGATTATGAGAGACGCCGAAGTGGAGGGCTCTCAAAATTTCGACCACCAGGGGTTCTTTAACGTGCACCCAAACCCGAGCAAGCTCCTCTAACATCATTCACTTTGAGGATATGGCGGCGATTTTTTTTTTTTCCCGACGTTCAAAGCACTCACACCATTTCATTCTTGAGCGCGCGTGGGTCCCCCCGATTTGAAAACTGCGTGCTCAGCGAAGCTTTAGAATTGAGTGCACATAGAGCGCTTGTTTTTTTGCGATTTCAGGTGGCCGTTCTGAAGTGACGCTGAAAGTCGTCACAATGCACGTCGCTAGCATTAATTTTATGATACGTTAGAGCATTTACGATTTAATTTTGGCGTTGCCAGGCACAAGTTTACAAATTACGATAGTCACAAAAATTTGCTCTAAGGGGTCCTTTAATTTTCTCAATAATTGCGCTAAATACCTTTGATGAAGCAGAAATACTTATTTTCATGAATTATCACAGATTGAACCATATTTCAAAATTTAAATCCAGAAACAAAACACTGTTTTTTCTTCAAAATCTCGTCAGGTGCTTTTCACAAATACTAAAAAACGAATACTTAAAAAGGCGCAGCGTAATTTTGTCTGCAACGATTACTCCTACATGAGCGGCAAAAGTAAGAAATAGATTCAAGAGAACAAAAGGAGGGCAACGTATATGGGGCTTTGACTATATTTGAAGGGAGCCTCGCTCACCGAGCTGCAAAAACACATTTGTGCACCATAATGATGTGCTTGTATACACGATAAATATATCCAAATCGTGACGCAAATGACCGCAAAGCTGGAAAACGTTTAACTGGTAAGATTGCTAAATTTACAGGCGCGCACGAAGTGAGATAACTCCCACTGTCTGAAAAAAGATCTAGCGGAATGCTCCGTGTTGCTGCTTTCTAGAGAAATGGGAGACTGCTGAGAAGACATGTTCAGTTTGCATAAACAGCGAAACTTTTTGCTTCTTTCGATAAGAACAACAGAAGAAATCTAATATGCAGCTGCCTGCCTCTTAACTTGATGATCTGTCACTGTTTTCAAACGAACGTTGCATCACCTCACAAGTGTCATTGGCATTGTAGGTGTGACCCCCGCAAAAGAAAAAAAAAAGAACAGGCACACACCAAGTTTCGCGTGGCCCCATTTGCCTAAAAGGACCAAAGTTCCTGAATTTTTCGCTTGTATGGTACACATGCAGCTATCCCGTGACCTGCAAGAGATATGGAAATCTTTAAAAATACCCTCTATTTCACCCTTTATATTACTTCTCGGCAACATCTTGGCTTCAGCTGCACCTGGCCTACCTACTGTTATGATGTGTCATAGCTATAGCTGCACGTTTCCCAAAAAGTCAGCAAGCCGTGAGGTTGGCCACGGTGACGGATGCTTCTCGATGATGAGCAAACAGTTATCTTCCAGTTCGTGCGGCTAGACCGATGCATTTTAGAAGCTGTCCAATCTGGCAGGAAATGCGGTTTAATTGAAACGTCGAGTACTTACCAACGTGCCCAAACTAAACCACAATGTGTGCCGACGCCAATAGCTTATAAATTAACCCTAGAGTAAAACAAAGCTTATATTCTATCTAAAGACAAAATTATCACAATACTGCACAATATAAGCATAGATAATGGCAAAATAGAAGTTGTAAACAATGTCAAAATCATGGGTGTTTTCTGTTCGAGCGATTTAAATAGAGTACTTCTGTTATAAAGTATCAAAGTATCGTAGGAAGTTGGTGTACAGTAATTTACTAACTTAGAGATATACTCCTCTAAATACATTAGACATTTACTCTACAATTAAATGGTGCTTTCATATAATCAGCATTGTCTTCCTGCATGAGGTAGAACAGGTATCATTGACATCACTAAAATACATATATTACAAAAAAAGTTTTAAGAAGTTTTGGAAACTGCCCTTTCAATGAGCACACTAAAAATCAGTTTTTACAATACTATGACTCCCTTGCACCAACAATATAACAATATATTAGGGATGTGTTTTAAATCCCCATCAAGCACAACACTACATAGCAAAGCTTACAAACCTAGATGTAAATAGAAGTATAGCACATACAATAAACAAATAATTATGGCACATAGCAACCCCAAGAGCTATAATAATAATCATTTATTACAGCCACCCATTCCCTATTTATTAAATAGTTTACATAAATCATTTGAAACTAGTTTTGTTATCCAAACAATGAAATCAATATTTTCTGATGCCTAAGTTGTATCAAACTTAACACCCATTATTTGTGTGATCTCATAAACTATACAGTAGTTAAACTTATGTTACCATTCCAGTTCTGTAAGAGAAGTTTGTCCTTTTTTTTTTCTGGCACGTATTCAAAAGTGTAACTCTTAGGCACCCGTTCCTGCATTAAACGGCGTCGGCGTAACCGGCACAGCGAATGCAGACGGAAGAGAGCGAAAGAGTTCAGCTGCATCTCCCGAAAGAGTTTTCTACCATGAGAGCAAGCAAGCTGCTGTGACAGCCTTTGCAACGTCTCATGCCTGCGTGCTTCTCGAGACGGCACAACGCACGCCTTTCGCGCATTAAGAAGAAATTGGGTTGACCTGCGAGGCTTGGGAGAAGACGTGCTTTGGTAGAAAGGACACCTTAAGTGTGGAACACTCTAGCGGTCTCTTACATTTTTCATCTAGTTTTCAGAGCACAAGCTCGTCCATAATTAATAAGTTTTACAGCGCAGCTATTAGGTGCCCATCTGTGCATTGAGCGTCGTCATCATAACAAGCACAGCGAACAAGGACGAAAGGATGAAAGACTGCGATAGCAAGCTCACCACAATGAGGAGGGAACAACAGTGGTGAGACAAGTTCCACGGCAACCACATGTGGGCCGCCGTGGGTAGTCGTGGCGTCATCACTAAGGCATGCGGCGAGGCTTTTACCAGTACCATATATGGAAATAGAGCGCTGCGTGAACGGAGGTCTGTCTCTGGCAGCTGTTGTGGAATGTGCCAATGTACGTGCTGCCTTCAGCAGTCTTCCGGTTAGCGAGGCAGTCGCGCCTTACCTTATCGCAAGGCCAAAACACCTAAACAGCTACGCTTGTGATTCGCATTAAGCAGTATCATAATCATTAGCGATGCATTCTATGAGGGATTCTTCGGGAAAATTCCGACAGATTTCACACCATGCAAGAATCTACTTCGAAATTTTTTTCTTGTACTTTATTTTTATTCTAAAAACAAATAATTAAGTTTTTTTAGAAAACAGTTCTTTCATAAAAATATTACGGCGGTCAGGCGTCCACCGTTTTGGTAAACGAACTCTTTGTCGGGGCGCAAATATTTTGCCACACCTTAAGTTTTATTGGAATGATTCACCAACAAGAAATTGTTAATTAGCTTTGTACATTTTAATTATTACACCAAATCTCTCTGGCTCATTAGACCACACCCCACAGCCCCCTGGCTATGCTAGCTCTAATCCAGGTCTTAGTATATTAGCATAATTGAATACCAATGCACTGGCAGTGAAATATGCATACATAACAGCTCTGACAAGTTGTGAGAACGGCCGTCAACAATAACTGCAAAAAGTATGCAACCATATAGTATGAAAAATAAAGCAATAAAATAACATGCAAAATGTTTACTTTGTTCCTTTTGTAACACACTTATACAAATAACCATAAGTAGTTAGTATTTAGAACTGATGCAAAAGTAGTTACCAATTTATCACAGAGGAGCCACGCACCAGTTAGGGCCACGAAAAGAAACGATGCAGACATGACAATATACAAGTGCCATAGCTAACAGATTCTTTCTAGCTCTTCTAGAACAGTTTTACTAATACTCAAATTTACTTGGCCACTGCAGTACAAGTGTCAGCAGCAAAATAGGGTTGGCAAGAAATATGCGTTCCTTTAGCATATTGCAATAGCAGATTACAAACTACCTTTGTACAGCTGTATTTTATACCACATTTTCACACAACACAAAAACGACGGTCAACATTCAAACATATATTTTACAACAAAACAGACAAGTTGACGTTTGTGAGCTCAAGTAATGACAATTATTACAATACGCAATACTACTAAACCAAACAGCCACTTCTTATTTCAAATGCTATTTCTGGCGACAAAATACCAGCATACACACTTTACTTGGCATCACTAGATTAAATTCCTTGTACTGGTCAGTGCATTTCCAGGCTGTACCTAATTGTTGACATTGTTCTCTTGTACCGCAATAACTTTAATGAAATGATTCAAAATCACATACAAATCAAAAAAGAAGAAGAAACAAGGGATGACCCACACCAATACATTCACCGAGCTTGTCTAAAACACAATATTTACGAGATGACAGGCAGACAGCAGCCATTGTAGTTGCTTATAATAAACTATTTGCTCTTTAAAGTAGATGTGCATAAGCTTTAACAAACTAAGCACTGAAATGAGGCTAACATGGTATGTACAGTACCTTTGAGGTCTGGCTCACAATTATAAGTAGCATGCTCCAAGTACCATAAAACAATGTTATGATGCATAACCTGCATTGTTAAAGGCTGTGGTTAAATGTCTGTTAATGTAATGACTAATAAGTAACTTAATTCTTCCATCAGATGGTTATTGCAACGTGATGTTCATCGAATGACCTTAAGAAAACATCATTTTTCCTGTATGCTGCCATATGACAAAGACAAATGTCATCATAACTTCTTGTGCTGTGACTGCGGAAGAAAAAAATGCCAAAAAGTTTGTATTTACTATCACATACCCTTTAAATAGCTGTTTCTAATAGTAAAAGTTGCTTTAAAGGTATATGCCAGCCATTCTATATAATTTGTCACATCTGCACAACATAAATCAAGCCAAGCCAACAACAGCGTCGCATACACCTTTTCAATCCGCTTTATGCAACATAGGTTCTCAATATGGTCCTCCCATAATTTTTAATAGCACATTGAAGTCTGCTTTGGTCCCTTGAGAGCAGCTTTTTGGTCATGTACATTTAATCCTATATGCAGGTGTAAATGAACTGAACTATACTGATCAGACGATACAATCGCGGCCGCAGAATAAAAGCCACTGGCATTTAGACCAAATTTTTGTCAAAGAGCTCTTAAATCAATGAACCAGCAATGAGAATAAAAAACCACAATTTTAAATGACAAATATTAGAAAAAGACTAGTAATTAGCAATTTTTCTAAAATGTCCCTGGCCTTGACACAATGCATTCGGTTCTAAATTTAATGTGAATACAGTGCAATCATTCACTTGAAAATTGGTTTTCATCATAAATGGTTAATTTTTTCCATACGACAGCAAGCAAATGACAGTATTAACAAACGTAGCTTGTTGAACATGACATTACATTCATAATGTGTCTGAGGTATATGTGCCATGCACACTTTGCTCCATTCATTAAGATTCAGTAGCATGGCTCCTGTAAAGATTTTTCATCGCAGGCAATTACACCAGTCAGTCACGAGTTCCCGTGAAAGAAGCAACAGCACAGAAATAGGTCACAACCTTCTTTCAAACAGCACAGAAATAGGTCACATCCTTACTTAAACTCATCAGAAAACAGGATTTGAAAACTTTCTTTCCAGGAATGTGCAACCTGTATTTACACACTTAAATGTCTGCAATGCTCTAGTGATATCTATTTAGACACCCTCCGATTGGCTAAATTTTGAGAGTGAGTAGGGGAATGCCTATTGTGAACTCCGCTCTAATTTTTATCCGATCGGTGCATGCTGCAACCAACAGCCCATTTAGTGAGCACTGGTAGAATACCACCCCTGCGCTTGGCTTTTCCAGAGATGAAAGACAATGCACAAAAACTTCCTGAAGGATTTTGCTGTTTCATGAAATAACCAGATTGGTATCACTGATAACATCAAATTAAAGTTCTGGACGGCGACTGTGCAGAAAAGTAGCGTAATTTTTTATGTTGTTAGCCCTTTTTTGCACAGTGAAACAGACCTAAGAATTTACATTAGTTGCTACATTACTTACGAAAAACCTTGCTGTAATGAACTTGAAGAGAATTTCCTTCAATCCGTAGATTACCTGCCCATAATTATTGCCCATCCCCATGACTATGTTGATTTTTTTCAATAATGGAGAAAGTAAGCACTACACTCTTTATATTAAATTACTACAATAAGCCTTTACAAAAAATTTCTGAAGGAAAAGATTATTTGAAAGGCATTGCAATGCCTCCAGTATGTTTTTAGTACTGAACAAAAGTTACAGCAAGCACTTTTTACAAGCACAGATCAGGACTATGATTCTGGTAAATGCTACTGCTTTGGATAAGCTGAGAATGTCCATAGCAGTAATACCACACAATTATGAGCAAGTGCTTCTCACTGCTAATTTACCATTTATGCGATGTTCCAGGATATATTACAATATTATTAAAATGTTAAATGTTCTGTGCACTGTGCTGAGTTATAAACCATCATTTTGCTCATCAATCAACCACCACCATCCAAATTAACAAATACTCAAACCATATTTTGTGATTTGTGAAGTAATCACAAAACAAGAAACAACAAAAGAAGCATGTGCACAAATCCCAAAATAAATCACCAACTCTCTCTGTTTTCAATCTTAATCACAGTCACAGCAAAAAAGAAATCAAGGAAGTTTACATATAAATAACACTAACACCTATGACACAAAACTATCCTAAAAAAATAAGGGGAAAAACACCATTTAATTAACATCTTAGGATACAAAGGGAAAGAGATCAGGTTTTAGAGCTTTTACACATTTTGCAGCTACACAATGCTTACTTTCACTTATTGCCGTTAAAGAGCAAAAACAGGTGACTGTGGAGTGCAATATACAAAAAAGTAGTTATGCAACAAGCGTTGAGACTTGTTTTACAGGTGACTACTTACGTGACGTACTCAGTCTTATGTTGAGTAGGCAACTTTGATACATCTAACATATCACCACGACAGCACACATACTAATGTGATATTACACAATGCCATCATTGAATGAAATGCAAGATAATGAATGTGCAACTCTCCACCGACATTTGAAGTTGAAAAAAAAAAAAATGATCTAAAGTCCACTGCTGCTAGCGCAGCTCTAACTTCATATTCTTCTCTTCAAGTTCTTTGGGATCCCCATTTTCAAGATAGAAGTTTCTCTTCACGTGAGCAAATAGCAAATCTGTGATGAGAAAAATCTGCAAAGGTGAAAATAGCAACATCAAACAAATGGTGAAGATATTTTACTATGTTTCATGGTTAAGGAAACCAAAAGAAGCACAGAAATAAATTTTGAGGCAGCTCTATGACTGTGTCTGCTTTTGTAGGTCACAATCATGCCATTCTGATCACATGCATGCATCCAACCATGATCGTCAGAAGGACTTTTTCTTGGAGGGTGCAAACCAGAGTTGCATCACAGCTGGGGGAGGGGAAAGCAAGGGTGTAGCACGAGTGAGAGAAGCTTCCGGTGAGGTTTGACGGAGGCAAGTGTCCCTTTTGTACCCCCCTGTCAATCCCCATGCATCCAATGCACACAGAGTGCAAAAGTAACACTGCTTGCTGTAACCACTGCAGACAAAACCATGGTCTCTGCAATATGAATGGCAATAATGCAGCTCCAAAAGTAAGTGTGTGGCCAATAAACACGGGTATAAAAAGGAGTTTACCATGCGCCAACATCGCTGCCGACAAAACTGTGGTCACTATCGACATGATCATACAAGCATTCACTGCATATCGAGTCAAAGTGATGCTTCTTTCTGTGACGTCATCCTCATATGCCCTGCACTGCCTGTTCCACAGACAAGGACCCAGATACAAGGGGTACCCAAAAATAACCGACCTGGCTATTTGTTACGCAGAGCTATGAAGTAAACAATTTTCCAGCTAGATGAGCATCAAGCCACACCTCTCAAGTCCATTGCATCCAGTGGATCCTCCCACAAAGCTTTCCTCGGGGTACAGTGATTTTTTTTTTTTCATAAAAACAGTTTCGCACACCTGACGTTTTTTGTAATGTCTGCTGCAAGAGTACTGTGAATGGGCATCAAATATTATTGTGGTGGTAAGATTAGCACTATGACTAGATATGAGTAACATCCAAGAGCGAAAGTGTGGGTAGCTTCGGAGCTGTTCTTTTACAGCATGGCCTTTGTTCACTCGACCAGCTCTTTGTTTGTTTGTCCAAATTCAAGGCAGAAATTTCTCAGTGGCCCTTTAAATCCCGAAATCTTTTTTTTTTTAATTTGCTCAACCAGCTCTTTCCAAGTCACACTAGATAAATTATTTAACTCTTTAGTTGTCCATCGTCAGTATTCATGAAGTGTCAAATTTTTTTTATATATATAATTTCGCCCACTCGTGAAGTTGACCCAAGTCCAGAATGAGATTTTTCTAGAACTGACATTTCCCCCCTTTTCAAACAGACAAAATCTTTCAAACTTTCCCCGTCACATCATTCTTGTAAATGGTGTTTAATATCACAATATAGGTGCTCAGTAATTTTACTAAAGCATGGAACGAAACTTAACAGCCGCCCCCTGTTCACTTCAGCTGACAATCACGAAAAAAAAAAAAAAAAACACACCGAGCACGCAAAACTAGTTTCATGAGAAAAATCACTGTACCCAGTGAAAAGCTTTCTGTAAGAATCCTCTAAATGCAATGAACTCGAAAGGTGTTGTAGCCTGATGCCCACCTAGTGGGATATCTGCGTACTATGGTAACTCAGCCCAACGCAGCACCGGTCCGGTTACTTTTGGGTACCTGTGTTTTTATCACCCATGACCCAGTCCTCACAGAAGTCATATGCAGACCTGCCAAGTACTGGGACACAGAATTAGGAAGACCCTGCCCGAGGGGGGAGGGGGCATTTTTTTTATTTTTTTTGAACAAAAAAGCGCACCTTTCGGAAGGAAATGGTCTCCAGGCTTTTCAACTGAACTACCTCTGCATTAGGCAGAGCAGGGTCTGTTGGGGAAAACTTGTGTCGCATGTAGTCGCACACTGTCACAAAGTAGTGCCGAACTGCCTCGAAAAGTTCCTGTTGTTCCTTGGGCTTTAGCTTGTCTTATTTTTGAACAAAGGTGGGTGGTCGCCGACTTGGCCCTCCTCAAGAAATCTTCCGTGTAGGTCTGGTTGTAGCAATGTCCAGCCTGGTCGCACTTCGCAAGGAGAACATGTCCGAGAGTTTTGTCGGACATGGACGACCGAAATTCAGTTCTTGTTTTCCTCACAAGGCTAAAGAGACGCTCACACTCGGCATTGCTGTGTGGAATTGACAAAATTCCAAACATCACCTCAGCATTTCGGCTGAACTTCAACCTTCCATCTGCAGTTCTCAGCTGTGACACCATTCTCCACTGGGCATCCACTCGTTCTTCTTGTAGAATATGGGGAGGAAGATCCTGAGCCTGCCACTTGGAAAACTCTACCTCCAGTGCGTCGACCCCTTCCATTTTCGACTCTCCCGGTTGGAGAGGTAGCATCGCTGAAAAATAGTCCACAAAAAAGTGAACCTTTCGGAAGGACATGGTGTCCAGGGTTTTCAGAACTACCTCTGCATTAAGCAGAGCAGGGTCTGTCAGGGGAAACTTGTGTCGCATGTAGTCGCACACTGTCACAAAGTAGTGCCGAACTGCCTCGAAGAACTCCTGTTGCTCACTGGGCTTTAGCTTGTCTACCACAGTCCTAGTTTCCTGTCCAATGATGAGGTCCTCGTCCCCTTTCTGTGCCTCCCTGCTATGGTAGTCCAAGTTGAGCAGCTCTGGGCTTCGTTTCAGCCACGATGGGTTTACAAATCTTGAGAAAATGTCTCGAAGAAGTTCCAAGAGAAGCGACCGTAGCACGTGGATCTGGGGAGCTTGTGCTTGCAAGGAGAGGTTCACTTTCTCGAAAATGGGAATAATATTCTGCAAGAAGAGACAATATGCTCGGTTGGTTTCCAGGCTGAGGAAAACAAAAAGCCGTTCTTCACGTGTTGGGCAGTGCTGGTCAGTCTTCTGTGTGCAGGAAACCTTGGCTTACTTCGCTAGCACTGAAGGAGCCTGTGTCAAGTTCTTTCTTTTCGTTTTGCACTGATCAGGCTTTTCTGCTGGAGCTGTTGCTTGCTTTGCTGATGTTTTTGGGATCTGGTATGAGTCCAGAAAGCTGGGACTCTTTTTGTCCTTCACTTCGTGCAAGAAGAAGCTCAACAGAGGCTTCCACTGATCCAGGAGCCTGGTCAAGCATTTCCTAAGAGATAGCCACCGAGTTGGGACATGTTTCAAGATTTTTCTGAAGTCTGCATCATGAATTTCCTGAAACTGCCTCAAGGCCTCCTTCTTCTTAGCACTCTTTTCCAGGTAATAAAATATATCTACAAGAACTTCGTCCACTTTTGCTGGAAGGCACACTGCTCCCTTCTCAGCTGCCAAGTTTATTAAGTGGCATGTGCACCCGATTTTAATCAAATTTTCTTGGACTTCCATCAGCACCGCTGCCACGCCATTTTTACCAAGCATCACGTTGGCGTTGTCGGAACAAAACGCTACACAGTTCGTGACCGGTATATGAAACGACGCGAGAGCCTCCAGAATTAGGTTGCCTATGTTGCGACCACTTGCTTGTCCCGTCAACGTACACAAAAAAAGTAGTCGACTCTCAACTAAGCCAGACTCCCCCACGTATGTCACCACGATCGGGTACAACTGCGAGTGGCTATCATTACTGCCGTCGATGGCAACCGAGAAAACTTTTTGCTTCAAGGAACTCATTGTTGAATAAAACAGGTCACTGACCAATGTCAAACAAAACAAGACGTTTCAAAACAAGATTGTGAACAAAACACGATTGTGAACAAGGGACCCGTACGGGTCCTGAAACGTCTTGTTTTGTTTGACATTGGTCAGTGACCTGTTTTATTCAACAATGCCTTTACCTGACCAGACGGCATTCCGTCGAACTCTCGACTACTTCAAGGAACTCACTATGCGCTCCTGAGTATGGTTTGCCATCTCGCCAACAATTGCACTTGTCTTGGTTCTCGCACAGCCGTACCGCTTTGCGACATCCGAAGTAGGGAACATCTTTCGTAGAAGGGGACCCACGTGGTCAGAGACGGTCAATGGAAGGTTATGTTCCAGCAGAAACCCAGTGAAGAGACATTCCGCTCGGATCACGTCACTATCAGAGTTCCGCTTTGAAAAAAACTGTCCCAGCTGCTGCTGCTTTTCTTGGCATTGCACGTGACTTACGTGTTTCTTGGATGAAACGTGAGCAACAACGTCGGTTTTGCCTCTGTGAGAAACGCTGATGTCGCAGCCACACACCACGCAGAACGCAAAATGCTTTCCCTTCCTCGATTCCACGATGCAGGGGAATTCGGATGTGTACTGCTTCAAAAACACCTGTAAGTACTGTTTTCGCTCCCGCTCTTTACTAAGAGCCATGGCTGACAGCAAACCAAGACACCAACACCACTGCTCCGAAGCACGCCAACTCAACCGCTAACAAAGCACAACATGCGAACATCGCAAGCTCGATCAACTGAGTGATGGCGATGGCAGTTGGTTTTGATTAGTCTCACCAAAGTTGCCAGACCAACAGTAAATTTTCTGCTAAAAACGGCTAAAACTTTCCGCAAAACTACGTTTTGCACGCTTCCCGGAAGATTTTTGCATCAACCGTACAACCGTACAAAGGGGTCAAAATTCGTACATTGTACGTGTAATCCGGAAGACTTGGCAGGTCTGCATATGAGCATTCTGGCAGTATATATTTTATGACGCAACATTAAAAATGGCCTCTCTTCGTCATGAAGCAATGAGCATCTGTTGATAAGAATGACACTTTTTGCAAATGCTGTTGAGAAAACTGTGGTAGACGTGGACATCGATGGTGCAGTTCTGAAGGCAAGTTCGCGGCCAGTGCACAATGAGGTAAATAATGAACATTAAACTACTGCTGAAACAGTTACTGCAGATGAAAACATGATCACTAGTATAATCACATTCACTGATAGCAACTATTGATAGCAGCTGCTGAGCTGAGTATGTAGCCAACACAGCAGATTAAACACAATAATATTACAGAAGGGCACGAACAATTTTGAGCTTTTCTGTCATTCAGTGGAAACTATGGTGGCATAGATTTCTACACTTTATTTTCAGTTGGCCTGCAGTGCAGCTTTTGTGATGTGCATTTTTTGTGTTTCGTTGGTTACGCCAATACCTCTATGAGTGGCCAAATATGCTCCTGTTAATAAAATTTTTATGCCAATAAATAACTCTCACAACTGTAGGGACCAGGGACCAAAGACAAGCCGTAACTATCAGACTTTCTGAGCTTGTGCAGTCTATGTATGAAACTTGGCAGCAACAATATTCTACAACAAAAAATTTCCTGCATGTGTCTGGTCGATTTCACTGAAGGAAAGAAGTTTAAATTTAAGGGCTCACTTTTCTTTGTTAGATGCAATATTAATGAGAACAGGCAATGAACTAACAGACATTGTCCATGAATTCTCATTAATATTCCGTTAATTTACATGAGGGTGTTTGCTGTGTCAATTTTGTCAAACATTATAGACACAGTGAACATTTTACGGCATCACAGTACAGCATGATGGGACAGTGTAGTGTAACATCATCCCTAGTATAAAAACAAGAAACAAAATCAAGCTTCTTTTTTTTCGTTTTGCTAAATATTTGAGGCTGATCTAACCAGGACTGACATATGTTGCATACTTATTTTGTTTTTGCATTATCTATACCAGCCTTTATTATCAAAAACTGCAAGTAGCAATAAATAGGATATAAAAATAAAGTCTGAACTCTTTATAATTTGTCACATCTATGTTTAACTGTACTCAGAAAGATGTTCTAGGACATCTTTAACATGCTTTCTGTTTGTAATATTTGCGTGCAACATCTGAAGAAACTTGTCATCAGTGTTTGCTTGGCAGTGGTTTACCAATAAAGAAAGTTGCAGGTATCATAAATTACATAGTATAAAGTCACAGGGAGCACAAGGGGCCTTTGATTTGATATTTTTAAATCTTTTATCATAGCAATACATAAGTAATGATAACATTATGCAGCAGCTGAACATTTAATGGCCATCTTCAAATCATTACAAAGCTTATTCAAATGTGAAAATTCCCTTTTATGTGTATTTGCAAGCATTAGGTTTATATATCTTGATAAAAATATTAAACACTATTCTAATAAAAGTTATTTTCAATAGTCTTCGGCTCCGTTTAAAGCAGCCAGTAATTTTATTTTTTCACCTATAGCTTTTTATAACCTCTTTTCACAGAAACTGTGAATAGTACCAGGTAGGTTCACAGCAGCATGTGTGACACCTGAAATATACTTAGTCACACATGTGCAACCATGCAGACGAATTTACACTTAATATTATAGTTCATGAAAACTTTCCCTACGTACTTGTTGTGATCAATGATGCGCTTAGATACCTCCCAATTTCATTTTGTTAACCATGCATTAGAAAGGACAGTGATGCAGGAGAAATAACAGATAATTAAACAAATATGAACCAAAAGCCTATTTTCCTAAACAGTACAGGTTTACATTCATCAATTGTTTGGCCGCACTGCCTTACCTGACCAGTGTTAAAGGCTAATGTAATGCCAAAGTAAAAGTTGGCATTGGCACTACTTGAAAAAATCCACAGGTGCCAGAGAAGCGGTGCAAGTGCTGAGCATGATACAAATATACAGCCCACCAGGAAGTACTGCTTCATATCTGCAAAGAAACAAGCCAAAAATATGGAGTATATTAAACATCTTGAGCAAGTAATTAAGATTTTCCAAAATGTGTAGTGTGCACAGTGAGGCAATGGTCTTTGCAGAAAACTGCAGTGAATTTGTCGAAAATAACAGTGTGATATCTGTCTAAAAACTGCATGCCAAATGCCGATGCCAACAGCAGTGCCTATGTACCTACCTTATGGCTACATAAACAACCTCAGTCATCCATATTAGATCATTATGCCTCAATTTCTATGCTTTAAAATCATATTGTTACGTAAAATGATACGAGACGTGACTATTTGTGAATGTATTGACACGGATCAAGACGGAGCACAGCACACACAGCGCACAAGCCAGTCTTCTTCAGCATCTTCTGTACGCAGAATGTTTCACCCTTCATGTGCTAGCTACATAGCAATATTCGCGTGTCTTCCTACTTGTAATTTATATTGTAGAGCTACTGAATAGACACCCTAAATTCAAATTACATGACAACAAAGGGTGTATGAAAAACTGAAAGCATCTATCTCGGACGCTGAGAGAAAGCTGGACTCCAGTTATTCTGTCGTACAATTTTCACTCAATTACTGCCAACAACAGTTATGTGCCTCTGAGTCCAGAATAAACATAAGAGACTCATTTGAGAAGAAACTACCAGTGCTCATACAAACCACAGACTCACTCAAAACTCCAATGATGCAACATTCACATTTGGTAAGACTTTGTGTGTGATACAAATTTGCCACATTCCTTGGCACAAATAGGTAGTGAACAAACTGAAGAAGCACCGAAAGGCAGGCTAGTTGGTACATAACTATAAACTTGAAAAAACAGCACAAGGACAGGACGAAGGACGGTGACACGACTATGGGAACCGACTGCCAACTGAACTTTGTATTGACGAAACCAAGACTATTAGTTTGCAATTATTAGTGATGTGCGTAACGTCAAATAGCCGATTTCTTTTTCAAACAGATCAAGCGGCGATGCACTTACACATCGACTGTCTCTTTGGTGGATGACAAACGCCTCGAATATCTCCCCCACATGCCTTTGACGATTTAATTGTTTTTCATTCTTTCGTGTATCAACACATTCTTTGTTTCGTCAAAAAAATATTTCATTTGGCAGTCAGCACTTGTCCTCGTGTCACCTTCCTTCATGCCGTCTTTGTGCTGTTTTTTTTTCCAAGTTTATAGGTAATGTACAACATACAGAACATTGGCTGTTCTAAATGCGTTGTCATGCTGTAGCAGATCATACAAATGTGCCCCACTGTGCCCCAGGCAGAAGATCCAGCAAACCAACCAGTGGCACAGGATGCTGATCCTACCTATACCATATCCACAACACCCATACTCATACCATACCTATAACAACCATACCTATACCTATACCACCCATAAAACAGCGCCCCTAATCACTCAATGCCTCGCATGACACAAGCATTTCGTGGACCTCCTTTGGGCAGCCAATGTCTCTAAGCTAGTCGTTTTTTTCTTGATTTATACTTCGTTGTAGCTACTACTCAAGTAACAGTAGCAACCACATAAAAATAGTTAAATTATTAACAATAATAAAAAAAGTTGCTCATAAATTACCATGAAATTTACAATTGCAAGGCCTTCACTAGGCTGCAAAACAATAGGCAGTTGGTGGAATGGAGAACATTGTTGGCGGCCAGATGGTCATTACCCCTAGACACTTGCCTCAATACAACAAGTTCCTCAATGCTCTGGACAGACTATTCTGGGGTGTTTCATTGACTGATATTATAGCATTTTTGGGAACAGTGTTGCGACGGCATTTTAGAGCAAGAGACGACCAACCACAAGAAATTGTTACTGTCTTCGTTCACTGTATGGGTGTAGTCTCACAAAATGAACTTCCGTTCGAAGTGTAGCTAAAAAAGACTAAAGTATTGTTCCTATTTTTAATTTTAACTTTATAAAATATAAAAACAAGAACATTATTTCTCCACTACTGTATAGAAAATTTTAATAAAAATTGGCACTACTATGCACTCACATGGAAAGACATGCTTCCAGACAGGCAGCAGAGATGTATAGAGAGCGACGTCACCGATACTAGGATAGGATTTGAAAACTGCTGTCAATGCAACCAGTAAAAAGAACAGGAGTAGTGGTTCTTTCCTGAAAATGTACAGACAGGCAAGTAAACACATAGTTTAAACACACATGAATGGTTAGCACACGAAGTATTAACTTCTAGGGCTGAAGGCACGAATGAAGTACTATAAAGACAGCGGTGTAGCTATTTTTTATAGAAGCCAGAGGGCTAACCTATTTATGCAGCTTATGATGTGCACGGTCAAGCAACTACTATTGATAAGATGTATTTGTCTGCTGTCAGTACAATAAAACAATAAGTGCTGAAAAAATGCACCTTCCCACAAAAAAGTGGCAAAGATGGCAGGCAATTATAGTATATAAAACAGGCACTTGATAATACTACAATTGTCAAGATTAAATAAACGCTATACCATAGACTCCCTTTAAAAGGAGCTCAAAGGGACCACGATCATTTATTTGTCTTATCAGGAGTTTGTCTTATCAGAAGAGCCCCCCAAAACCAAATGCTAACATGCCAAGTACACCCAAATATGTTGCTTGAAAACATGAATCAAGTGTACTTATTCGGCTCAGCTTGATAAAAAATATGCTTACAAGTAGAGTATTTAGACTAAACTAACGAGTACTACTTCATTTCACGAGTTCATAATAAATATGCTCATGAATAAATTTCTACCACATCTTAACAATAAAACTGTAGCACGACCCTATTTTGACAATTAGAAAAAGATGAAAAGAAAGAGACAAGCACAATTTTCCTTCAAAGAATGAAAAAATTATTCTTCTGGCTGTTCACCTTCTGAGAAACTGTTTTACTGGCTTTGCTATCACTTTTGGATAAGCTTCCATTGCACACCGCAACCTTGACAAAGCCAATATACGCCAAGTTGCTTATGATTGTCTGCAAGCTTTTTTTTTATGTGAGGTTCCGATAATTTCTTATTTTCAGCTTGCAGTAACTTTTCCTGAACGACGTGCAGCTCAAGATCTCCGTTTACTCAACTCATGATCACAAGCCTCGGGCACAAAAAAAGGACATGATGCAGCTATATTTTGTGTGCAAAATGGCCTTCCTTTGTCGTGCACTTTCATTATAAAAATAGTGCATTACAATTCGCTGCATTTCACTGCGAACAAATATGACGTGCATAATAGGCCCTATGAAAAACAACGCTAACTGACCACAACGTGGGCTCAGGCGCCATTGTGTGACGGCAATGACAATGCATTTGACTCCCCTGATGGGAGTGCTAGTGCCACATATGTGGTTTCCGTTTCATGTGATTATAATGTACAGTCAATTTTTGTTCCCATTCTCACTTTTATTTGGCTTTTTTTTTTCTTCCCCTTCTCTTTCATTTTCCCCTCTAGCCAAGCTCTTGTGTTCTTCTGTTCTCTATAGTACTCCTGTTGGAGAACTGACGAAAGCGAAAAGAATGCGAAAATATGAATGCTTTTTGTTGCTTTCTTTGCTAATAAAGCCGGCCTTTTCTCCACCTACAGGCCAGGGGTGAGAAAGACACCAGCTTTATGCACTGACCTTTCTTTTCCATTTATCTCGCTTTCTCCTTTCCACATCGTAATTTGATTTCGATTTGCTTTGAGTCTTGACGCCAAGAAGCTTTCTTTTTGCTTTCTTTTTGCTTTCTTTTGTTCGCCTGAGTGCCCCTGACAAGTCTATATTGTTTGTTGCGCAGAATCCCCATCACTATTGGTCGCTGCGAGAGTTCGTCCTAACAGAAGAGTCCTGTTAGGCTGTTATTCTTCAGCAGATTTTTTTTGCATTGAGTCAATGGAAAACCAAACAAACACTCCCGTGTTGTTTCTCTTAAGCAAGAATTTCTGTTAACAGAGTTCATCTTAACGGGAGTTTACTGTACAAGTATACAGAGTAGGGTGCCTGAATACCATGTCACATGATTTCAAAAAAAAAAAGGGGGGCAATGAGTTAGCTAGCGGAGAAGCAAGGAGGTACACACTGTTCACAGTCAAGTGGGATAGATGCCAGTAACCTTCAATAATAATTGCTGATGCTTTAAGTGCCGAAACCACGAAATGTTTATAAGGCACAACGTAGTGGATGGCCCAAAAGCTTTGACCACCTAAATCAGGCCTCTAACATTCTCACCTCCTCTGAAAATTCAACCACCACAATAACGATTGAACCTGTGACCTTTGAGTCAGAAGCCAAGTACTGTGATCGTTGTAACACTGTGATGAATTGCCAGTAGCCTTCAAACATGCTCCAAGGAGCATGCTTGATTCCTATTTCAACATGTGGCATAGGTAAATATTACACAGAACACATGTATTAAATATTCTGGCACTTTGTAGCACTTTGTAAGATCAACATAAATATGTCACGCTAAAAAGCTAAGCAAGTCTTTATAATGCTAATAAGCAAATCTGGAGTCACTAAAGAAAATGCTAGAGCAAGTGTTTGATTATTCAGTGCCTAGCTTCTTTCTACCAAGACATGGCTAGCAGTACGTTGCTCATTAAGAATCGACTCCTTATCTAGCTGAAAACCAAAATAAGATATTGTGAATGAATAAATGCAAAGTTTTAGCAAAGAGCAGAATCAGCACTCTAATGCAAGTAGGTGATCAGCAGATATGTTTTACAACTGGCACAACTATGATTGAACATTTTTTTGCATCCATGCAATCCCCTCATGCATTTGTCTCAGATTAATGTTGACACGATGCAATACATTAACTACCCTTCTATATTCAGGCCAAGGCTGAACCCAATTATTTATGGTAAGTTTAACTACTTGTCATGTTGCAACAGAGCATGTATAGTTGGTCAGAAAAAAATGCAAATAAAAATTTGGTGTCACAGTTATCTAAGAGAAATCAAGATTACAAAAAGGAAGTCCTAAACTGCCAACATGCAAGTATGCACACTCTAAAAAGACTTGCCTTAGACGAATGCTCAATGGAACCATATAGACGAAGGCATTAAGTTGGAAGATCCAGAGAAAAAAGACCCGAAAATGTTCAAAAACTTCAGTAAAGAAGTACCAGAAGACACCTATGTTAGGTGTCAAGTCTGGCACAGCACATCTGCAAATAAGCATGAAATGTTTTAGTGAGAATTTTAAATGTTATGATGCTACTAACTATAACTAAGATAATAGACATGATAACAGTACTAGAGTCTAACTGATATGTCAAAAGCACACACTATTTTCCTGTCTGACTCCTCACCTTTTAGACAGATAACTGAATTTAACCGATTCCGATGAGGTAATTTAGATCAGCCTTCAAAACCACACTTCATTTCTTACTTTTAAGTGTGGAGTATTTCTTTAAGAATGAAAGCCACTTTGACCACTTCTATCTGTCTGTATCTCTATTGAGCTATCTAGCCAGAAACTTAAATCAGGCGCTCTCGTGGTTGTCTCCTTGAGTTGGTATATACCAAAGCTTGCACAACATTGCGTGAGAGTAGGATGCACATAGTTCACAAGTCATGAAATGAATACCTTACATGCCTGTCACATACGTTATGTCACATACATCATGAAACCCTTTACTCCAGTCACGTGTGGTGCTATCTGCACACCATGGCCCATGGTGTATAAGCAGGTATGTACGTACCACAAGGAACTCACAGTCTACATCAACCAAGGAACAATGAAAATTGACATTGGAAACCACACACTATGCATAGGTTAAATAAGAGAAAGACATATCATTTGTTAAAGCTTGCAATTTTAATGTAACAGAAAATCACTAAAAACATGTTGCAATGACCTTAAACAGCAGCCGAGTGGTACAGACCATGAATTAACGGTTGCCAATAAGCTGTGGTACCGTTGTTGTTCAACAGTCTGTGGGTTCATTAAAATTTTTGACATATTATTAAAAATTATGCCTGCTGAATATCTGAATAACCTGCTTAGAAAAAGTATGAAGCAATTTCTATCAAAATATGACCATTAGTCTACAAGAAAAAAATGGGACGTATCTGTCCCATTCACCCATAAAACCTCTTTGAAAAAGTGGGACACCAACAGTCCCATTGTCTCATGAGGGCACTAAGTTGTAATCCTTTATCTAAATTTCTTGCACAAAAAGACCCAATGCAAGCAGCACAGAGGGACACTTCAAGAACTATGCAAAGAAAAATTTCCGGTGGATCTCATTTCTAGGTGTGGTATACAATCAATGCATCTGCCTGCTGCGTTGCGCTCCATGACTCTGTCCTAGGTCTTCAGGTATACCAACCATCTTAGCTTCTTTCTGTCTATTCGGCTGGTGTAAATAAGAACCAACACCTTAGATACGCCCAAATTTCTGCCCATATATAAATTGCGGAAATGAATCACGGTAAGCCACATCAATGCGATGTAACTGAATGCACTGAATCCTATGAGTGCATTTACAATCGCTGCACAAGATTTGTGAACTCTATCCAAGACTGAGACATTAGCTTTTCTCAGAGGTCTTGCACATTCAAGTTCTCTTTCACTTCCCAGCTGTCTAAAGCATCAATTTTGTCATTCTACTTCTTTGACCCTCAATTAACAGCGTCTTAACCACAGCTTTTGGTCTCAGTGTCACTGCTCTTGTAGTCGTAAAAAAAAAAGGATAAAAAAGAACTTGAGGGCCTTCTTTGTAATAAAGTGCTGTTTTGTGACAATATAACTCATCAGGCCTAACAAAAAAAAGTTATGCAAGCACGTTATGTAGTTATGCTAAGAAAGGAATTCCTTCATTTTTTGTTCAAGTGCATCTCCAATACACTTTCTGGCCAATATATTGCTCCAGTTCTTAAGTAAAATACATAGTTGCACGCTGAAATTACTTCTCTCAAAATTCAGAAGAAAAAAAATACCATAAATCTAAACTTTAGCTATATTGCACACAATGTGACACCAGTTTTAAAAAACGTTCAACAGAACAAAGCGAATTCAAACTCAACATATCTTTGATACCATGTATTACAAATGTGCCAAATATATTTTCTTGGTTTCGAAAATGCTGCTGATACACTGTGGCAGAAAAGCACAGCTGATGCCAACTCGAAGCAGTAGAGAGAGCTTTAACTTAAAACGAAAAAGTAATTTACTCTTTTAAAATTCCATACCTACCAAACCAGGGGCCTCAAAAATTGGGAGATTTGTAAAATGGGGGGTAGAGGGGGGGGGGGGGGGCAAATTAAAAAAAATTACTTCTTGCTTCTCAAGGCCTCGTTGACGTAAATACACAACTTTTGAGTGACTGCAATAAAGCTTTTGCATGCCAGCGATCACACCACTGCATGTGATATAGCACACATGTGTAACTATACAAGTATGTAGAACAAATCTACGATCTGCAACCAACAGCAGCCTTTCCCCACACAGCCCGCTTCACTGCATAGCATCGTATATGACGGTGAGGCTAACGTAGCATGCACTGCAACATTATGCTATCACGAGATCCTCATTGAGATAAAGAAAACATTTTGAGCTACAAATAAGCAAGGTAACACACAAACGTGGCGACCTCTTTTCCCTTTACATCAGGAGGTGTGTTGGGGGTCCTGCAGCAAGCTGTTCTGGTTCCGCAAGGTCCAAGAATTTTAATAAACAATGTCATGTTATTTTCCTTTCGAGTAACTGTTCATAGGGAGATGTACGGCCACACCCGCCCAATCAGGAGGGCTGTTCAGAAGTCTGGAGTCTCCCAGGCAAATCGGCAGAGTTGGCAGGTATGAAATTCCCAAAGTATCATACTTACTGCAAGAACAGGCTCGGCAAGCGAGAAAACGAAATGCGCGTGGCAGAACAATTTTGTAATTCTCACATCAAACATCATAAATTCATACTTTTTGACAGCATCTACTAGGTCATAAATAGATTATTATCAGTAAAAATGAAGTACATTATCCTCTCAGGGGCCAAGACTTGGTATGTTCCTGAAACATATCAAGTTGCAGGGAATTTCGCTTGGCCAATGTCACCTAAATACTAAAAATACACTTTAAAATCTGTGTGAAGTCACATGTGGCGAAATTTCGGTGCACAGTTAGGAAAGAAAACTTCGACTTAGATTTTCTTATCTGTAAATAAGCCAACGACGACAACATTAACAACGTTAGAGCTCTGAGAGAGCAATTTATGATTCTAAACAAATTCATTATTTCACTTTAGTGACCCTTTAATGTGAACTGAGGTTGCAGTGTTGGCGATCGGCCTTATAATAATGTAACATACTTTATAAATGTACCACTCCTATATACTTACACAGTCTAGTGATGCTCCTCCCCGCAGGAATGAGTCAAAAAATGGAGTTTCACATCAGCTTCATAAAAGTCATGCGTGCACTGGAAGTTGAGTGCCAACGTTACGTTTAACAGTATGTTATCCATTCCACATCAGTGTAGTCGCTGTGGCATGGGATTACCCCAATATGCGCACAACTAGCCAAACTACACAAAGATGCCAATTAACCTTGTAATGCATAAATTAATGCGAACAAATGCAGTGTAAGCAGTTCTATACTGACTACATTGCATGAAATCAATTTCAAGAATGTGTGAGATCTGTCAGAACTTTCTTAACATTACAGTGTTTTATGCCGGGGTCCACCAAGACTTAAGTAATGTATTTCCATCACGGATATGACGTAAAATTGACGCTACCAAATGAGAAAGGAAAACATTCAGGAAAAAGTTCTCCCACTGGGTGCCAAACCTCTGACCCCTTAGGAAACGACGGATAGTGCCTGGTGCCCTACCAAGTGAGTTATTGAGGCAACTGCTGGGCTGCGTAAGAATGCACCTTATATCTTTCACATATTCTTTCTCGCTTCATGCTCTCTGTTGGCGAAGCAGGGCAGTGCCGTCGTCTTTAGTGCTGCATGATGCAGTCAGAGCAGGCATCCAAGATTTCGTGCTGGCACGCAGTCTTGGAGGCCATAGTGAAAGTTTGTCAATAGCAGTAAAAAACCCTGACCGAGCGAGCAACAGAGAGTCACCGACACAGTAATGTTCTTTACCTTTCGCTTCGTGATTGATTTATATGTGGGGTTTAACGTCCCAAAACCACCATATGATTATGAGAGACGCTGTAGTGGAGGGCTCCGGGAATTTCGACCGCCTGGGGTTCTTTAAAGTGCACCCAAATCAGATCACACGGGCCTACACCTTTCACTTCGTGTTAGCACGTGACAGCTCATTCTAGCATTCATGCAGTTTCCACATGCACCAACAATGTTTCGCCGTCAACTACTTTGAGTGTGATAGCACTGGCTTACGATGTCGGCAGGCAAATGCAATGCCTTGGTGGAACGAAACTGAGGCGAGCAAGACATGGAACTACGCACCTCTGCATACCGCGTTATGGAAGCACAGTATGCATGAGCGCTGACTCTCTTCATAACTGACAATCTTTTAAGACACATAATATCGAGTAGCATTGTTTAGTGTGGGCTTGCTGATGTCATCTTTGTATGAAATAAACTGCCGGAGCAAACACGATAGAAAAAAATGGCGGCTATGACATGATCATAACTTGCTGCAGCAGGGTACATGTGGAAAGTAGGGGGCTTTGAGGGTGTTAATTGCGCGATTGATTCCATCATTCACGTTAAAATTCATTTAAAATACCTTAAAAGCTACATTCGCTGTTGATATCTTGCAGATAATATACACATGTTCATGGGAATCGATCCTGCAAACTATCTCGACCGCAAAATTTTACGTCATTGATTAATCAATATGTAGAATTTAACGTCCCAAAACCACCATATGATTACGAGAGATGCCGTAGTGGAGGACTCCAGAAATTTTGACCACCTGGGGTTCTTAAACGTGCACCCAAATCTGAGTACACGGGCCTGCAGAATTTTCACCTCCATCGAAAATGCAGCCGCCATAGCCGAGATTCGATCCCGCGACCTGCGAGTCAGCAGCTGAGTACCTTAGCCACTAGACCACCACGGCGGGAGGCAAAATTTTGTGTCAGTACCCCTTTAAGGACCTGGAGGAACCCTAAATTCTGGAACTGCACTTCCTGGATGAAGTGAAAGAAGTTGTGCAACATTTTCCACGACACCAGTAGCCTATAAAACTC